AGACTTCCTCTAACATGATGCTGAATTTTGCCAGCCAGCGAGGAATGGAAGAGATAGATTCTCTCTCAACCTCTGGAGAGGAACATAGCCTACGAGCACCCACCTTGACTTTTATTCTGATCTCCAGAGCTCAGCTCTTGGGGCATGGGCTGTCAGGACTGGTGTACCAGCTGATTAGACATTTCCAAAATGAGTCCCCAGCTAGGAGTGTGGGTAGTGCTCTCCCTGTGCCCCCTTCTCTGTTCCCCATTGTCTCCTTTAATGACCTGGATCCTGCAGGTCACTATCAGCTCAGATAACTGCCCCAAAGCCCAGCCCCTATTCAGCTCTGCAGGCCTGGCCTTTGCTGGACTCAGTGCATCCCTAGATCCTGCTGTAGTTGTTGGCATTTTCTTTTGGCTGCTTACCACCTCCCAAATAAAGATGACATGGAGACTTACTATGAATGCTCAGTCTTTGCTTACCCTTGTCCCACTAGCTCTTTTAACTTAATTTAACCTGTTTCTATCCATCTTATGTTTTGCTTTGGGGCTTTTTATCTTAAATTCATCTTAAAGTCCTACTTGTCTGCTTCCTCTGATTTTGGCTAGCCCCTGGCATCTTTTTCTTCCTTTCTTTCTCTGCTGAGCCTCAATTTCTCCTAACTCTTCTTGCCTGAAGTTTTGCCTCTATTGGTCTTTCAGCTTTTTTTTTTTTTTTTTTTTTTTTTTTTAAGATTTATTTATTTATTTAATGCCTATGGGTGCCTTGTCTGCATGGCCATCTGCTCACCAGAAGTCATTGGATCCCATTACAGACAGTTGTGAGCTGCTATGTGGGTGCTGGGAATTGAACTCAGGACCCCTGGAAGAACAGCCAGTGCTGGGTTTTGTTTTGTTAGCTATTGTTTTGAGACATGGTCTCATATACTCCAGGTTAGCTTCAAACTCCCTATGTAGCTGAAGATAACCATCTATTTTGGTCATCTACATCCAAAGTGCTAGAATTACAGGCATTCAATAATAATGTGTCCAGTTTTTTATGTGGTGATGGGAGTCAAACAGTGCTTTTTTTACATACCAGGCAAACACTACTTTCTGGGCTATGTCCCTAGCCATGGTGTGTGTGTGTGCATGTGTGTGTAGTATGTATGGGTATGGGTTGACCAGGCATTTTTGTTAGTTACTCTCCACCTTATTTGGGGGAGGGGTGGTTCCCTTTGAACCTGAAACTTGTTGTTTTGGCTAGATAGGCAGGACAAAACCCCAGGATCCACCAGCTCTATCCCTCCAGTGCTAGAGTTACAGGTGCATGCCGTCACACACAGCTGGGTATCTAAACTCAGGTCTTCATGGTTTTGCAGCAAACACTTTACCCACTGAGTTATCCACCTAGCCCCCACACCAGTCTTTTTGATAAAGGATTTCATATTGCTGTCCAGACTGGTCTAGAACTCAGTAATGCTCCTGCCTCAGCCTCTTGCATGTTGGGACTACAGACATGAGCCACCAGCCCAACTTGTATTGCCTGTTTTTGTCATTGGCCTTGGACATTTGTGGAATGGTCAATTGGGAGTCAGGGACAGTGTGTAGGGCTGTACTAGGGATTGTTAGCAAATCAGCAAGTGGGGTTTAGATGCTTTGGGATAAGCAGAAGCCAGAAAGTAGTGAAAGGTGCAGAACAGATGGTATGGGAGTAAGAGAATACTTATGTACCACCAGGTAAATGGGTATTGAAAAGCATTAAGCAAGCCCATGCCTCTAATATCAACACTCAGGAGCTGGAGACAAAAAGGGTTAGAAATCAGCCTGGGCTACATGAGACCTTGTCTCAGATATGCATAAAATATAAAACTAAAGCAAGGAATTGATTGACAGTGTCACTCATAATTAGAACGTGAACTTAGTATGTGAGAAGCCATGGGTTCAGTCCTCAGCCTTTTGTTTATTTTTCAAGACTGGGTTTCTCTGTGTAGCTTTGGAGCCTGTCCTGGAACTCACTCCGTAGACCAGGCTGACCTCGAACTCACAGAGTTCTGCCTGCCTCTTCCTCCAGAGTGCTGGGACTAAAGTCACACACCACCACTGCCTTGCCAGTGCTCAGCTCTTATATAATGGAAGCTACACAGGTTTAATAGAAAACATAAAAGCTTGGAAGGGATCAGGAAGGGCTGGGAAGAGTTACTGTAAAACAGAAGGAAGCAGACACTCCTTATCTTTACTGTGTGAAGACTAATGACTTGCTGTGTGCCTACCACCAGTAGGAAAACTGAGTGAGTGCTATATAAGATCTTTATTGTTTCAAATAAAAGGATGGAGAGACGGTTTAGTGCTTGAAATCATGTGCTGCTCTTGAAGAGGTTCTACTTTTGATTTCCAGCACCCACATCACATGGTTCACAACCACCTCTAACTCCAGCATCACATGTCTCTGACCTCCATAGGTGACTTAAGTGCATATACCCCTTCACCCATAGAAACATTAAAATTTCTTAAGTCACCTGTGAAGCCGGATGGTGATGGTGCATGGTTTTAATCCCAGCACTGGAGAGGCAGAGGTAGGCTGAGTTCTGTGAATTCAAGGCCAGCCTGGTCTACAGAGCAAGTTCCAGGACAGCCAGAGCTACACAAGGAGGTCCTGTCTTGAAAAACAAAAACAAAATAAATAAATAAATAAAAAGAAAGAAAGAAAGGAAAAAAGAGAGAAAGAAAGAAAAATCACCTGTGGCCAGTTGGTGGTGGCACATGCCTTTAATGTCACCACTTGGGAGACAGAGGCAGGAAGGTCTCTGCCTGGTCTACAAGAGCAAGTTCCAGGACAGGCTCCAAAGCTACACAGAGAAACCCTGTCCTGAAAAATCAAAAAAGTTACAAACTTACACAAAGAAACCCTGTCTGGAGGGAGGGGGAAATTTTATATATATATATATATATATATATATATACATACATACACACACACACACACACATACATACATGCATGCATGCATGCACGCACACACGCATATACATACTGGGGGAAGGGGAGGGAAGTTGGCTCAGAGGATAAGGGTGCTTGCTGACAAGCCTGATGACCTAAGTTGAATCCCCATGATGGAATGAGAGAATCACTTACTACAAGTTGTCCTCTGACCTCTACATGAGTCACAGCACAGTCTCTCTCACACACACACACACTCACACACACACACATGTGTAGTAAGAATCTATTCTTTTATGTAGGTGGTGGTGGTGGTGGTGCACACCTTTAATCCCAGTACTCTAGAGGCAGGGGCAGGTGGATCTCTTGTGAGTTCAATGCCAGCCTGGTTTACAGAACGAGTTCCATAACAGTCAAAGCTACACATAGAAACCCTGTCTCAAAAAACCAACCCCCCCCACACACACACACACTTGGAGGGGAGGTTGAGACGGGTTTCTCTGGTTTTGGAGGCTGTCCTGGAACTAGCTCTTGTAGATCAGGCTGAGCCTACCACCACCCGGCAAGAATATATTTTTTAAAAAGTTATAAACTGAGGCTCTGGTTCCCACCTTGTCATTATAGAAGGCCCTTCCTGTGACCACAGTCCATCTGCACTCAAGGAAGCTGCCAGGTTAGGTAGCTCACAACTATTGTACCCTAGCTCTCACCCTGGATGCCTCTTCTAGCCTCCCCAGGCACCAGGCATGTTATGCGGTACATATACATACACATAAGAACATCTTCAAAATATACTTAAGGAAAAGCTGGGCTGGCAAGATGGCTCAGTGGGTAAAGTGTGTACCTCACAAATCTGACAACCTAAGTTCTATTTCCAGAACCCATATAAAGATGGAAAGAGAGTGGATTTCCTAAAGTTGTACTCTGACTTTCACACAAACATCTTGGTACATATAGCTTCCCATACATCATAGACAATAAAATTAACAAAAGACACGATTTCTATTTGGCTTTTCTTTTTATGTTTGTTTTGTAGCCCTCAGTAGACTAGAACTTCCATAGACCAGGCTGGCTTCTGTCTTGTAGAGGTAGAGACCCCTGTCTCTGCCTCCTGGGTGCTGGGGTTAATGGTGTGTACCATGCTCAGCCTGTAGTTTTTTCTTAATCTTGAAGAGAACTACAAAACAACACCAACTACATACAACTGTATGGACTAGGGAGTCCATACAGGAGCTGGGGTTGTGACGGTTCAGTACAGAGAACTGCTACACTGGAGAATAAAAAGGGAGCTATAGCCAGGCTTGTAAGCATTGCAGCTCAGATGGAAAGGGATCTAGCCCATTTACCCTACAAGGGTACCAACCAAATAAATGAATGCCTCCCTCCTGCAAATTCAGTTTGGTGCTTGCATTTCAGGGTACACTGGGCCTGCAAATGGGAGTGTTCCTGATCTGTCCCATTTAACAGTACAGAGATAAAACCCAAGGAAAAAGGGGAAGCTTTGGCAAAAATTAGCAAGGACGGTTTAGCTTATCCTGAAACTCGGGGATTACCCTGAACTCTCTGATCCTTGTCTCTACCTTCCACGTGTTCGGATTATGGATTTAAATCCATGCTTTTAAATGGCTCTGCTTTCTCAACCAGGACAACATAGAGCCCAAAGTTAGGTCGAGGCTTTTGGTTTGATCTCAAGGGAAGATGTTCTCTTGCTGGAAACAGGTCTTCAAAGCCTGCAGAAAACAGGCTCAGTGGTGAGGGGCGAGAGGTCTCGATTTAAGGGCTCTGAAGGGTATCAGGATGTTGGTACCACTTCCTGTCTCGTGGTTGCTCCGCGCTCCGCACTGCAGCTGTAGTCGCTCGCGTACCGGGAGTGCACGCGCAGCAGAGATATTGCCTTCAGTGACTTTAATTCCATCCTGTTTCTTATCTCAGTTACACAACCTGCGTTTTAATGTCCAGTAGACCGAAAACACCTCATGACCTTCAGGATGTGGGGATGTGGAACCGCGCGCCCGCACCGCCCCAGCCTTCAGGGGCCACGAGCCCCCAGGCTCTCCAGGGCCCGCAGGAGCTGCCCAGCCCCTGACAACCGCCAAGGGGAGCCTGTTGCTAGGGGCGTTGCGAAGGAGGGGCCACGAGGAGGGGCTCCCTTCCGGGAGGAGGGCGATTGATAACCCGGAAGCGGTCGGCAGTGCGGCGCTGTTTAAAGATGGCGGCGGAGGAACCTCAGCAGCAGAAGCAGGAGTCGCTGGGCAGCGACTCCGAAGGTACGGACCGAGGGAATGATGTCCTGCCCGGGCTGGCGGGGGCACGGTTCGGTCGGCCTTTCCCGAGGAGCTCCGGGAGGCAGGGCCGCCGGGGGCCGGGCGCAGCGTGCCACGGAGCCCTCGACCTCCTCCCCTCCCCCTCACAATGGAAGCAGGGCCGCGGCGACCCCCGGCCGGGCGGGGCGGCCAGGTTCCCCGCTCGGCCGGTCGCGCACGCCTGGGGCGGGGCCTGGGCCGTCCCGCCTCCACCCGTCCCGCGGCCTCGGCCGGCTCCCAAACTCAGCCAGCCCGAGTCCTCGAAGTCAAGCCGAGGCCTAGGCCTGAGCCGAGTCGCCCGCCCTTACCCGAAAAGCAGAGAGGCGTTGAGTGACGCTGAGCAGCCAAGCATGAAGTTCCCGGTGGGGCGTTTGGGGTGCTGCCTGCAGCCCTCTTCTTAGAGCTCGTTCTGGCCTTCCAGCCCTCTCTAGCAGATCCAGGCATTGTTTTCCTAGTTCTCTGGTTCTTGAAACAAAAAAAAAAAACAAACAACAACAGCAAAAAACCCTGTCACGTCTTCTTCATGTCTACCATGAACTTGGGTTCTGGGGATTAGTCTTTCTAGTGGGAGGGATGGCCCAGTTGTGGAACATAGATAGGCTCAGCTGACTTTACAAAGTCAATCATCACATGCACACCCTGCTTTAACTGTGCACTCTAGACTAGAGGGTGAGAACTAGGAAACCCAGGTACGAAGAAAGAAATTGTACTCGATCGCACATCTAAGAAGGATCCCGGACGAGAAATTAGTGTCTCCCTATCCAACAGTTTAGAGTCCATAGGATGAGCCTCCCAAATATATGGATGCCTCTAGAAAGTGGTTAGGTATTACTTGGTGCTGGCAATATCCCAGCATATTTTGGTGATGGGAGCAAGGTGCTGGCATTAATCCATTCTTAGGTAAGGGTAGAGGGCTTCGAAGTGCAGTGGCAAGTGACATTGCCAAGAGCTCAGACTGGAATTGTACAAATGTAGACATGCCCACAACTCTTCACTGGTTTTGACCTTGGGCAAGATGGAGTCGCTTCTTTGCATTTGTTATTTGCAAAGTGAGCACCATTAACAATACACAGGACCACAGAAGGATAAAGGGTGTGTCCCAGTAAAGTGCTTGTTGGTGAGATGCTCTCATTCCACCTAGGGCTCCACCCACCTCATCTTACTTTTCCCCAGAGACTCCCTTCCCCAGTCTGCATGCTACAGGATGTTAGAAAGCAGGGAAAAAGGAATAGCAGAGCTGGAAGAGTGTCCTGATTGTGGTCTTTATTCTGTCACTTTATTTACTACTTTTTTTGGGTTGCTAGAAATAGAAGCCAGGAGTTCAAACCTGCAGAACAAATATATCTTCTACCACTGAGCCTCAATCCCAGCCCTATTTTCTTTTCTTCTAAGATAAAGCCTTGCTGTATTTCCAGGGCTGATGTCTAACTCCTAGGCTTCTTGATCCTCCCGGTCTGTTTTGTAAGTACTGGGACTTAGAGAGCTGTGCACTATGCTAGTCGCTTGCCCCCTTTTTATCTCATTTTTGGAGACTGGCTCTGTGTAGCTCCAGGAGCCTTGAACTTGTGGTCTTCTTGTCTTACCCTTGTAAATAGCACCATACCCAGCTACCTTCTCCAAAACATGAGGAAGTGAAACCCTAAAGAGGAAGGTCTTTGCCAGGATTACACAGTGGAGTTTAAGACATGGATGGGCTCCATATTCCAAACCTTCTGCCAAAGCTCCTTGCCATAGAGATAGTCAGGCCCCCACAGTAACCCTTGCTTGGCACTGCTTTATTTTTTCCTAGGTGTTAACTGTCTGGCCTATGATGAAGCCATTATGGCTCAGCAGGACCGAATTCAACAAGAGGTGAGGGGCTGGAGAAGGCTGGGGAGGCAGTATCTGAGGACTTCATGGTTGGGGTATATAGTCAGGGCCTGAGGCCTAGTGTCTATTTTGAAGCCCTCCCCTCTCCAGTCTATGCTAGGCACTCCATGTGTTTATGGGGGTTGCTGTGCCACTGAATGACCAGCCCAGAACCCTTTTTGTAGGTGTTAGGCATGGGTTACTCAACCTCCTTGCCAGAGCATGATGGATCCCTGCCTCCTACAGATTGCTGTGCAGAACCCTCTGGTGTCGGAGCGGCTGGAGCTGTCAGTCCTGTACAAGGAGTATGCTGAGGACGACAACATCTACCAACAGAAGATCAAGGTGGGGTCCTGGCCAGAGGGGCAGGAGGAAGACTTTTCAGCCCTGCTTTTTGCCAGGCCTAATCTTTGAGAGGGCAGGGTGTTGGTGGGGATGGGGCACTCCTCTTGCTGCTAGTTTTTGAAGTGTGCAGCCTCTGGACTGAGACCTCCAGTCACATCAGATTGCCACTCAGCCCCTGTCTTCTTGGCAGGTCCTTCAGTGTCTCTGAGCCCTGAATGTCCTCATCTGTAAAATAGGGACAGTGAAAGCATCTGCCTGTAGGGTGGCTGTAAGGTTGAGGTAGGTGATGCTCAGGTGGGACCAGGTGCAGGCTGGGTGGGCACTGACAACTCAGTGCTCAGCCAGGGGCCACGCTTGCTGGTGTTGGGATGGGTAGATGGGTTATATAGAGACCTGTTCTATAGTCTGTCTGTTGGACCATTCTGAAGGACAGGCTCCCTATGTGTGTCCCTGTTGCATCATTCAAACTGAGGCAAGTTTCTTTGCCAGCCACTGCAAAGGCTGGGAGCAATGGAGGTTGAATTGTGACCCTGGTAAGAAAACAGTATATATAGACAGCCTGAGGATTATAGGTGTTTATATCCTCTACTTGGAGTTGGGGCCTTCAGATGGTCAAGCAGGTAACCCAGTGAGTGAAGCCATCTGAGAAGTTAACTGGGAGGGCACCATAGCACAAAAACAGACATGGTAAGGAGTATCCTCTTCTTGTGAGAGAAGCTAGAATTCATGAGCTTTCCTGACTGAACATTTGGTAGTTAATGAGAATTTAAAATGTTGTGTAGGGCTGGGGTACAGCTAGCTCAGTATAACATGAGCCTAGTGTTTGCAAAGGCCCTGAGTTCTGTCCTTAGCACCTTAGGGGAAATGTATGTGCTAAATGACCTCTCCTCAGCCTAGGTCAGTTAGACCTAGTTTGTGGTCTGCTCATACCCACTGCTAAGGGAAGGGGTTTAGGATTTCTCCAAAATACATGTGAGGACATAAAGGCCCTGACTGTTTTAGGTCTCCGCTCTCCAGTTGTGTGACTTCAGGCTACAGTTATGGGGCAGGTTCAGGGAAGGTGTTGGACTTAGCAAGGGTTTAGAAACCAGTGGCTTCTCCTCTCCCTTGTGACCAGTTAGTAGAGTGGTGCCCTGTAAAACCACTAGGATGTTACTCAGGTTCTTCCTGTCATTGAGTCAGTTAGCAAAATGTTTGAATGTTTGAAGAGAACTGTTGGTAGCAATGTGCCGCTGCACCCTAAACATCCATTCTGTGTACTCTGCCCAAGCCCTCCTGTTCTTCCTGGATGGTATCGACAGAGCCAGGCTGGGTGTGCATTTGGCTCCTGTGGAATGGACTCTGAGGATAGGGTGGAAGTGGGCATGAGCATTCTACAGGGTACCTGACTGTATGTGCCCAGGGAACTTATAGCAACAGGGTGGCTGGACTCTGGTGTTACATTCACTAGGCAGGTGCTCTGCTCCAGGCACTGGAGATAGTGCAGATACCGGGACTAAAACACAGGCCTGTTTCTGTGTTGCTTACAGGGAACAGTGCAAGATAGATATAAACCTAAAAATGTTTGTGGTGGTGCATGACTTTCTTCTGGGAGAATGAAGCAGGAGGATCAAGGCCAGCCTGGGCTACATGTTGAAAAAATGCTGTCTCAACACTGTAAATGTCCCCACCACACACACACACACACACACAGAGAGAGAGAGAGAGAGAGAGACAGAGAGAGGGAGAGAGAGAGAGAAGAGAGTTTGGTTGTTGGGGTTGGTAGTACTGTGGAGAGAAATAAAGGAATGCGAGAGCTTGTGTTTTATAAATAGGGGTAATGATTGAGAACTCCCTGAAAAGGTATATTCGATGAAGCAAGATGACAAGTGACAGGGCATCCAAGAGTCATGGGGGCTAAGGTGGATTAAGAAGCCACTTACGTCTGTGAATGTGTGGATGTCTGATAGGATGCAAGAAGGAAAAGGGCCTGTCTGTAAGGTTACTGTTGTTTTGGGACGGAGAATAGGCCTTAGGGGATAAGATGGAGGCAGAGGGAGTAGTGAGGAGCTTTGGCAATAGAACAGGAAGCAGGCATGATGGACCAGTAGTGGGCTGCGTAACGTGACATTTGAGTACTAGGTGTGTTGAGAGAAGAGCCTGAGGGATATACTGTTTGGTAGGTGTGTTGGGGAGAAGTGAGCCATCTGAGGTTGTGGTTCAGAGCCCAGGCACAGAGCAGGGTGGTGCAACCCAGCTGTGGGAGTGAAGAGGTATAGGGGAGGCAGAACATCTAAGGTGGAACTTTTGCAGGGGGGGGTTGCTGAGACAAGGTTTCTCTGTGTAGCACTGGCTGTCCTGGAACTTGTTCTGTAGACCAGGCTGGCCTTGAACTCAGTAACTCAGATATCTGCCTGCCTCTGCCTCCCAAGCACTGGTATTAAAAGTGTTCACCATCACTCGATCTAGGTTTGGTGGTCTGGAATTTTAGCACTCAGAAGCCTGAGGACAGAAGATTCTTGAAAGTTCAAGGCCAGCCTGGTCTGCAAAATGAGACCTTGTCTCAAAACCAAAATGAAAGGGAAAAACTGTGTCTGTGGACTAAGGTGAAGATCTGCCAGGCCTCTAATGTTCACAGGGCAGGCAGGGAGCCCTATGTTTGGGTGTGTTGTAATTGGCAAGTGTCTTCAGGAAGGATACTGTGTGGTTTGGTGGGAGTCGTAGCTTTTAGAATGAAGAAAGATGCAGGGTCGCCTGGGAGAGAGCAGGTAAAGGAAGAGATGGGATGTAGTGTTGTCACTCACCAGAGGCTGGGCCGAGGAGGGCTGCATTGGCCCTGCTATAGTAGCTCTAGGTTGTTTTTGACCTTGGTCGGACAGAAGCCTTCCATAGGAGTTTGTGTTTTATTGGGAGACCTACCTGGATCTTACATGCCTGTGGGGTCTATACTGTAATCTGTCAACCTGATTCATGTCCTTGAATCTGAAGGAGAACAGGAGCTGGTGGTGAGTATCGGGGTGGCTAAGTAGCAGATGTCCAGGGCCACGTTCTCAGTGTGAAGGGACTCTCGTTACTACTGAGTGTTGCCTGAGGGTTGTCATCTGGCAGGTGTCTTGAGGAAGGATACTTACTGTGTGGTTTGGTGGGAGCCCAGCACTTTACAGTGGAGGAGGATGAGGGATAGCCTGGGAGAGATCAAGTAAAGGAGGAAGGAGCAGGCTGAAGAGAGCAGGGATGGGGTGTCCAGGTGAGTGAGACCTGTTTACCATGCACTGTCATGGGTTTGGGCTTCATTTGGAGAAAGTGGTAAAGGCTGAAGTAAATGGTTCCTGTCCTTGACTAATGAAACACAGTTGGGAGGTGAAAGTGGATGGGGAGCTGATTTAGCCTCAAGACTATAGGGAGGGCTGCTGTGTGTGGCGGGAGCCCTGTTGGGCAAAGGAGCTTTAGGCATTCAGGCAGTTGGTAGTATGGCCTGTTCTGTTCTGCTGCTTTGCCTTGCTTGGATTGAAAGACCTGAAAAATTACAATAGTCAGGGACAGATTTGGTCATCTGTTTTTATAAGCAAACTGCTTTGTAGCCAGTAGCACCCACATGGGGAGCAGCTGGTGCCTTGTACAGCCTGTTGATACATAAGTGCACAGCTTCCGGGAGCCTAAAGGGGAGGGTTCTGTTCCAGTGGGTGACTTGGGGCCCTCATTCAGCAGCATGGAGGTGGGAACCTGGAGTTGAGTTGCCACCTGCTGCTATGACCATTTCCTGGCCTGGCCTGGCCTGGCCTGGCTGGATGATAAACTGGGCTACTCTTCTGCAGGACCTCCACAGAAAGTACTCATACATCCGGAAGACCAGACCTGATGGCAACTGCTTCTATCGAGCATTTGGCTTCTCCCACTTAGAGGCACTGCTGGATGACAGCAAGGAGCTGCAGCGGTGAGGAGGGCCTTGGGGGTGGCTCCAGGCCCCTCCTGATGAATAGGAGATCTGGGCCTCAGGCCAGCCATCAGCTGGGTTGTTTGGGGCTTCCATTTGAACTTGGTGATGGGTGATCTTGTCTAGGCAGAACTGGGCTGACTAGGTTCTTGCCCTGCTGGCTGAGAAGCCCATGCTGGCCTCCCATTCCTTCCCACCCACAGGTTCAAGGCTGTGTCTGCCAAGAGTAAAGAGGACCTGGTGTCCCAGGGTTTCACTGAGTTCACAATCGAGGACTTCCACAATACGGTGAGCCTAGCTGTCTCAAGCTGGGCCAGCAGGGAGGGTGACTCTGTAGGCTGTGGTAAGGGTGGTCTCTTCACTCATTGTCCTCATCTTAACCTCTTGTCCCTGGGTGGGGCAGTTCATGGACCTTATCGAGCAGGTGGAGAAGCAGACCTCAGTAGCTGACCTGCTGGCCTCCTTCAATGACCAGAGCACCTCAGACTACCTTGTGGTCTACCTGCGGCTGCTCACCTCAGGCTATCTGCAGCGAGAGAGCAAGTTCTTCGAGCACTTCATAGAGGGTGGCCGCACTGTTAAGGAGTTCTGCCAGCAGGTGCCACCTCCTCTTCAGCTCTGCCCTGGGACCGTCCTTTTCTCTTTTGTTTAAGGGTGGCACATGCCCGGTTGAGGTTGGGACCTGGGGAGGGGGAGGGTTTGGGGACAGGCCTGACCTGCCCCTGTACCACAGGAGGTGGAACCCATGTGCAAGGAGAGTGACCACATCCACATCATCGCTCTGGCCCAGGCCCTCAGCGTGTCCATCCAAGTAGAGTACATGGACCGTGGTGAGGGCGGCACCACCAACCCACACGTCTTCCCTGAGGGCTCCGAGCCCAAGGTCTACCTTCTCTACCGGCCTGGACACTACGATATCCTCTACAAATAGGGCCGGCTGGCCTGTTGCGTCCTGCCTCCCTCCCCCGCCAGATGCTAGACATGTACAGAGGGTCTTTTGGTTTGGTTTGGTGTTTGTTTTTTATTTGGGGTTTGTTTTTCTTTTTTTTTGTGGTTGTAAATGGTCTTATTTCACCCCTCCCTTCTCCCTGCCACACAACCTTCCTTCCTGTTTTATTAAAGGGGATGCTGGTGGTGAGCCGACTGTGTGTTTCCCTGCTCTGCTGCCCTTCCCTACCTGCCCGCTGGCTGCTGTATGTCTGGCTGTCCCTTCCCCCTCCCCCCCCAGGGTGGGTCCCTCAGCCTTCCACCTATCCACCCCTAAGCATTTCTGCCAAGAGAATTTTGAGGGGGCTAGGCCTCCAAGTTCCTTATAGTTCTGCTGTCTCCTCACCCATGGGCCTGCCCCCTTTCCTCCTTGACTTTACAGGGGTTCCATGGGAACTTTTCAAATTCCTTGGGAACTTGGCTGGAGGTCTCAGGTCACCCACACTCAAAGCTGCCCCTTAGAGTTTGCTATTCTGGCCAGGGCTTCCAGATCACAGCTTTCTGCCCACCTCCAGGAGTCTGCATGATTGAGGAGTCCTGAGATGAGAGGGTTATGGGAGGAGGCTGGCCCAGCTAGATGGAGGAGCTATTCATCCTCACTGGGCCCCAGGAAGAACTGACTTGGTATGAGAGGAACATAAGCCTGGTTCATATCTAGGCAGGGCTTGCCTGTTCCTGTTCCCCAGAGCTCCCTGCCTGTGCTTGCTCCCTCTGCACCCTCTTTGCTTGGGCCATATCTGCATTACCTGCCTTGCCTTCTCCTCCCCACCCCCAGCACTTGTGGGGTCTCAGCCCAGGCTGTGAGCTCCTTGGGGGTGGGCCCTCAATAAATGTGAAGTGCTGCCCAGCCTCTGCTCTCTGGCCAATGCCTCACTCACCCGCCTGGCTCACCCAGGGCTCTTGTAGCCCTCTCGAAGCAAAAAACAGTCCCAAGGCACCATTCCCACAAGGGGGCTACCTTTCCCCCTGGGCCCCAGCCAGACGAAGACCCCAGCACTCGGACAAGTGAGGCTGAATCAGACAGCTTTATTAAGAGGCTTCTGAAAGGCAGGGCAGAACATGCTGAGGGGAAGGGCAGAACTCCGTGGCCAGACTGGAACAAGCCGTCCTGCTTCTCTCAGAGTTGGGATCGAGGTCCCACAGGCCCAGGTGGGTCTGAGGGTAGAGCAGATAGGTCAAAGGGAGTTTAGGACTTCTGAAGGCCCCTGGGCCCCTCCCTAGCTTCGCCCCCCCCCCACTGCATGGAGGTGGGCAACAGCAGGTTGAGCAGGTGTTAGAGGGCCAGGTTAGTGTAGGGTGGCCACACCACACTGGGCCAGGCCCTGCTTACCAGTCCCATTCAAGGTGGGCTTCAGGAGCCTCAGGCTGGAAGGCAGAGGACAGTGAGAGCCGCCCAGAGCCATGGGGGAGGGGGAGGTTGGGGGAGGGGTGGTGGCCAGAGGAAAAACAAGGGTACATACCTACTGGGAAGTAATAGGGCAGGCGCTCTCGGTAAATGCCCTCGTCCTTCTCGAGGAACACACAGATGATAAGCCGATCCACCTGTGCCAGGGATTGCTCAGCCCGGGTGGGGCCCCTGGCCCTCAGTTCCAGACTTTGTGCTTCCCAAACCCACCCACCTGCCTACTATGGGTGTACTGTTGTCAGAGTTTTGAGAATTAACAGTACCCGTCATAGAAGGGGTCCCGGCCCTTTCCCATCAGCTGTCTCACAGGAAATAAGTCCACGGAGAGAGAGGGCCTGGGGAGGGAGGGCGGGTACTGACCGGCCGCACCGCCCAGAACTAGGTGCCCCTGCTCCCGCCTCGCTGCCAACCATTCTCTCCGGTCTCACCTTGTCCTTGTGCTGCTCCAGCCACTCCCGCAGCGCAGCCAGCACTACCTCAGCTGCCTCCTCATTAGGGTATCCTGAGGGCAGGGTCTGTTGAGTCCAGATCTGGCCCCGCCCCGCCCACCTCGATGAATGGTGCCCTCACTGCCCACCCTGGCCTTGCTTTTCCAGACTCACCAAACACGCCTGTAGAGATGCATGGGAAAGCCTGGGGAAGGGAGGGCAAGACATAATAAGTGCCTCCCTGGACATCCCTGTCGTCACCTCCCCCCCCCCCACGCGCCTGGCGACTCTTACCACTGAGCGCAATCGGTGCTCCAGTAGCAGGTCCAGGCTGCTCAAGTAGCAGCTGCGGAGCTCAGCTGCCTGGCTGGCACTGGGCTGGCCTACAGCGATGGGCCCCACTGTATGGATGACATCTAAAGTAGAGTGAGCTTCAGTCAGAGGCCAAGGTTTCCCCTGACATCTTGCCAGAAGGACCCCACCCTTGCGCTCTCCCACCAGCATGCCACTTTGCTAAGTAGTGGAAGACTGTAACTCTACCCTCCTGTCCTGCCCCACTGGGGCTCTGCAGCTCCAGCCCCATTCCATCTGCGCTCTGGGGTATGAGCGGGGCCAGGCCCTTATATTTAAAGTTAAGATGCCCCCTGCAGTTGTGGGCAGTTCCCCTAGTTCACTCACACTTGGCCGGCAGCCGATAGCCGCAGGTGATCTTGGCTTTGCCAGTCTCGCAGTTCTGCAGGGTGCGGCACTCGTCAGTGAGCAAGGGTCCTGCGGCCCTGTGGATGCAGCCGTCCACTGCGGGGGGGGGGGGGAGAAGGGGGGATGGGGTGTGACCGGTTGAAACGAGCAGTAGGATTCCCCTCATCTCTGAAGGATCAGGCATAACACCTCAACCCCGAGAAACTCCAAGGCTATCTAGGCCTTGTTCCACCTGCATCACAAGGCCAAGACCTCCAGCTGCTCTTGTTTCACATCCAGGGAAACTGAGGCTCTAAGGCAGCTGGCCCTGGAGCGAAGAGACACGGGGCGACCGGCAGGGGGCGCGCCTGACCCACCCTCTTGGTTCTCTGTCCGGGACGCGCCCTCCTGAGGTCACTTGCCTGCTCTACTTGGATCTAAGAAGGGGTGGGATACTAAATTCCACCTTTTGACAATGTCATGCCAAACTCTAGGCTTCTTTTAATACCATCTGAGGAACGGAGGCCACGTAGTTCCAAATGGCAGATTCAACCCGGGGCCTGAGCCTGCCTTTTCCAGATTCTTCCCATTGGACCAGGCCTCACAGGTGTCTCTAGACTCTTAAGCCCTGGTGAGGCAACTAGCATCCAGCTTAACTGAGGCCAGGCTCGGGCTTGTTTATCCAACGGAAGCTCTTGGGGTTCTCTGTGACCCTGGGGACCCAGGCCCAGATAAAGAACTCTCAGGGCTTTGATATCCCAGAGTCAGCAGAGGCCCAGAGGCAGGTCTGCTACTGATTCACCCAGGCACGATATAGCTTCGCCCAGGCAGGCTGGGGCAAGCACGGGTTTGTCCCTGCCTGCTACAGATTTTCTCCTGCTTTACCACCATCTCAACTGCAAAGTAGGAACAGTGGCCCCTAAAATGGCAGGGCTGATGAAACCCAGGCCTACTCCGAGAAGGAAAAGCTCCACTGCCTGGCACCTGGCTGTGCTGGCATCATGCAAAAGCCATCTGGCTCCATTTTTACAGATTCCTGCATCCCTCCAACTTCAAATGGACCCTCTTTCTTCTTCTGTTTTCTTTTTGGGCCCTAGGGGTCCTAATTAAACCTAAATTTCAACTTTCCTCAGAGCTGGCACTGGGTGTTTTCCCCAGAGTTAGGGGACCCTGGGAGTGGCCAGGGCAGGGTCTTTCAGCCCCCTCCCTGCCCTTCTCTGCCAGGGGCTGCAGAGCCTGAGCTGAGAGGCCAGCTGCCCCGCCCCCTGGTGAGCGTGTTGCACCCTGGAGTTCACAGCCATCACAGTGTATATGTGATGTGTGGGATCCACAGAGGACCCAGCACAGGACAGAACAGCAGCCACAGCCCGAGTGATCCTAGGCGCAGCACTTTCCTTCTCTGGCTCTAATAGTACTGCCTGCCTCATAGGATGTTGGGAAAATGAATTTTGGGGGTGGGGTAGTGCTGAAGATGGACCGCAGGGCACAGTTCGTTGCTGAGCTGCACCTCAGTACTAAGTAAGTTGACCTTTTTCTTCTTCCATTTATTTTTTTATTTGTGTGGGGGGTTTTGTTTGTTTGTTTTTGTTTTCTTTTTTGAGACAGGCTTTCTCTGTGGCTTTGGAGGCTATCCTGGAACTTGCTCTTGTAGACCAGGCTATTTGATATTTCAGAGACAGGGTTTCTCTGTATAGTCTGCCTGTAGCTCTCTGTAGACCAGGCTGGCCTTGAACTCAGAGATCCTGCTTCCTCTGCCTCCCAGTGCTGGGATTACAGATATGAGCCACCACTGCCTGGTTCTTTTTCCTCCTTTTTTATTTGTTATGTTTTGTTTTTTATTTGCACTACATTACCTCATGTCTCCCAGCTAGTCTGAATTTTGCTGGTGCTGATGACCTTAAACTCTTAACCTTTCTGCCTCTGCCTCTACTCTGAGTGCTGGGATTAGAGAGAGGAGTACACCAGTATGCTGGGCTCTTTTTACTATTATTTTTTAGATTTATTTATTTTACTTTGTGTGCATGTATGTTCACTGCATTTGTTGAATACCCCTGGAACTGGGATTACAGATAGTTGTGAGCTACCATGTGGGTGCTGGGAATTGAACCTGGGTCCTCTGCAAGAGCAGCAAGTGTGTTTTGTTTTGTTTTTCCCAGACAGGGTTTCTGTGTGTAACGGCTCTGACTGTCCTGGAACTCACTCTGAGACCAGGTTGGCCTCAAACTTGTAGAGATCTGCCTGCCTCTGCTGAGATCAAAGGTATGCACCACCACACCCAACAGCAACAATTGCTCTTGACTCCTGAAGACTCTAATTCTTGTGTGTGTGTGTGTGTGTGTGTGTGTGTGTGTGTGTGTGTGTGTGTGTGTGTGTGTGTGTGTTTTCCAGACAGGGTTTCTCTGTGTGGCATTGGCTGTCCTGGAACTGGCTCTGTAGACCAGGCTGGCCTTGAACTCACAGAGATTCTCCTGCCTTTGCCTCCTGAGTGCTGGGATTAAAGATGTGCACCAATAACTCTTGTTACTTAGTTAAGCCATATTGGGCTCGATCAGATTTAGCCCTTATTATAACATTACAGCATCAGGCTCACAGTGTGCACAGGGAGTCATGGAGTCTAAGATGTGCATGAGGATTTGATGGGACCGTACTCCTTACAAGGATTTGTATAGATAGTGTCCCTGGAGCCTACTGTCCCTGCCTGGCAGCCTCACCCTCCTGGCACTCCACTACCTGCTACTCCAATGTGAAGCCTCTTGCAGGTGACCTTGGCTGGTTGCAGGTCATGTAGAGGTACAGCTTGGAAGACCTATGCTTTAGAGACTTAACCTTGCTGCTTAAACGGACAGGCCTGCAGTCTGGCCTTGGAGGCTGACTTGGGAGTGTGAGAATATGGAGGACTGGCACATGACTACGACACTACGATGCTCTGTGAGTGCCTAGGGTAGAGGTTTCCCAAAAGCAAAGATGAGGAACAGGCCCTGGGTACCACATCTGTGTTACCTTCCCCCAGACAGACTGGTCCTGGAAGCTGAGTCTCAGCTGCCTGGTCCCTACCACCCACCCAACATCAATGCCTTTTTGATGCCCCACAACAGTTTGATTTTTTTCACCTGCATAAAGTCCTGCTTTTAATGCCAACAATTGGGAGGCAAAGGTCAGTTAGACTAAATGATAAAATCCTGTCTCATCTAACAATAATAACAACAGCAAACACCTAGGCCTGTAGCTCAGTCCCCAGGACAGCAGACAGCCTGGGTCTTCCCTGGTCACCCTCCTGTGTCCACTTCCTGTCTTCGAGGTCTGGAATGAAATTTCCTCATTGTGGTAGGGCCAGTC